ACACCCTCTAAAACTTTTCTGGAGGATGTCGCTTTCCGTGGAGGAGGGCTCTCCCCACCTTAGTGAGCAGACCTGAACATCACGTCTAGGGAGCTGCTTAGGTTTTCCAAAAAAGACCAGAAGCAGAAACTGATGACTTGCATGAACATCAAATAGTTCTTTTTACAATTTCTATGCATGATGGGGAAATTCACAGGCCGAAAATTAGGTAAATAAAGAGGTAATTACAAATGCCTGTTGCCTTGACAACACCCCTCCCCCAGCCCTCCTGTGACAGGGAAAAACCAAAACGAACTGAGGAGGGGTAGCCGCGGCGCCCGCTGCAGCTCGGCACGCCGGGCAGGGCCCGCGCGGAAAGCCACCGGCTCGGCACCAAACACGGAGCAACCCGTGTCTGCCGGGGATGCATTTTGTGTAGTATTTTCGTGGTTGCCATAGAAACGCCAGGGACGGAAGAACGTGTTGCCTGCCACCACCGCAGACCCAGGGGCTGCAGGAACCTTCTGCCCAGCCTCGGGGGTCGCGGGGAAAATGCCTCCACCGGGGCCGGGGCCGGGGCCGCGCCGCCCGCGGAGCACAAAGGCCGGTCCCCGCGCCGCCCGCCGCCCGGCCCGCGCCGTCCCCGCCTAGGGCCGCGCCCACCCGCGCGGGGCCAGGGAAACGCGGTGGCGGGCCCCGGGCCGGGGCACCTACCTCCTCGCTGGCAGCGCGGACGCACGGACCCGACCGGCGCGGGGAGGAGCGGCGGGGGCAGCGGTCGCCACGAGTTTATAGCCGCTGTAATTCGGCCAACACTGGAAAGAGAGAGCGAGACTCCACCCATGGGGTGGGCCCTTCGGGGAAAAAAAGTGGTCCTCGGCTGACGTCTCTCCCCACCCCATGTCACTTCCTTTTAAAGCTACGGTTCAGCAGCCGCCGGGAGGGGAGACCCGGCGGGCGTCACATGAGTCACCCCTTCCCCTGCGGCCGGAGAAGCTGCCAGAGCCAGGGACAAAGCCCGCGGGGCGGCTCTCCGAGCCCGCGCCCGGACCCTGTTGCATCCCTGGGCCGAGGTGGCTCCTCCAGCCTCGCCCGACACGCTCCAGCCCCGTCTGCCTGCGACCTGGAAACGGTCCCGACCCGGCTCCTATTGGATTCAGCGAGTACGCATCCATCTGTTCCGTGACATGCCCACGCCCCAAATGCCCCTCACCTCTCACTGGTGGCAGCGCTGGAAGGAGGCTGCGCCCCACTCGGAAGAGCCTCAGAGCACCTTCAACGGAACAATACTGGAAACTCAGATGGGAGATGGGAGGAACTGGGAAAGAGAAGCTTGGAGGTCGGCGTATTTTCTCCCTGCCAAGCAGCCACCAGGGCTGATTGCCGCGGCACACGCGCGCGCACGCATGCACATGCACGTGGCATTCACATGCAGCATGTTAGACAGGGGCTGGGCAGATCTGAAGAATGAAAGGGTGTCACCACAACTTCAAAAGAGAGGGCGGCTGTTGATGCTGCAGAAATGCCAGGTTTCTAGCATTCCCCCCAGAATTATTTCCATCCCCAAGTAGTTAGGAAGCATGCCTTTCAAACGTTGACCATTCGAACCATTGCCACAAACAATACTGAGTATTTGTACAGGAGTCCTGTGCTCATCCCCTTTTAAATGTTAACGGTACACGAGGAAAAAAATAAAACGTTCATAAATAACTAGACCACATTGCATACTTACTAAAAGCTACAGAAGTGCTAGAAGCAGTGGGTCATGAGGACAGAGAGGATGGAAGGAGCTCCTTTTGGTTATGATGGAGGAAAAAGGCATCCATAATCCAGGAAACGGGATTGGAACGGAGTCCTATAGGGTGTGTGGCATTTGGACAGCATGTGATGGCAGGGAGGGTGCGGGGGTTAACAGGACAGCGGCATGAAGATGAAGGACATGGAGGTCATAAAGAGGGTTTTGAACAGAAAACCCTTTTGTGCCAATGCTTTATCTTAATATACATGTGAAAATTAATTTATACAGAAATGCTTATAATAAATGTTTCTAAGAAGGTTATTGCAACCAATGCAAGTTTTAAGCATTCTCATAACTTTTCAAATCATGTTTTAAAATCCATTTGTTTCCAGTTTTGCAGAAACTTGAAAGGGTTTTTTCAGAGTACTTAAGGTAGAGTTAGACTGATGTTTTTCATATTTGTATTTTGAATGGGAATTTATTTTAAAATCGACAAATAGCATCAATTTGTGCTGTATTTATTACAAGTACAGTCAATGATTTCAATGGGAATGATATGAAATTAAAAATTTTTGACAATTACTAATCTTATTCTGATATAAATAGTTTAATATATCTTTATTTTATTACAACTATAGTCATTTTATGCTTATTAGTTGCATATTTAGATGATGTTGCTCAGTCTCAGTTACCTCAGAAATATAGCTGGGGAATGCAGGAGAAAAAAAGTCTGCTTCTAAAAATTTAAGTAAAAAATATAACATTCATAGGTTAAATTCCATGCACTTTATTCAAAGACCCATTTAGTGTTCATCCTTATTTTAGATGTCCTTTGTTAGCTGTTTCTATCTAAACAAGGAATTGTGAAAATTTCCTGGGCCACAGTCCGGCAATTTAGTTCAAGAAATATTTATTGAGCATCCATGCTGGTTGCTGAAGATAGGAAAACACAAATAGGACACGGACATTGCCCCCAAGGTGCTCAAAGTCTAAGGAGGGAAAGACACCTGTGAACAATTCAGATACGATATAACGAAGGCAATAATTGAAATCTGTACAAGGTTCAAAGATGGTCCAAAGACTGGGAGAAAGGAAGTGGGGGAGTCTGTCTGTGTGGTTTCTTAGCTCAGAACAAATTGTAAAACGGGAGATTGTGAATAGTATATTCATTAGTGAGACTGTAAGAAATCGATCCTGATAGCTGGAGAAATTTAAAAGGAAATAGGAGGCATCAGCTGGTACCTGGAAAAATGGATACACAAATAACTAATAAACAGTAACAACAAAGATGCAACCTCACATAAAAATACAAGTAGAAAGGAAGTAATGTCATTTCTTTGCCTCTCTGCTTGTCAAACATTCAAAAATGAATGTCCAGTGTAAGATGCATTTACACACTGGGCTCTCTCCTCTTCTGCTGGTGACAGGAAACTGATACATTCTTTCTGGAATTCAGTTAAATGAGATGCATCATAAGCATTTCAACTGTTCATATTCTTTACCCAAAAATTCAACTCGTAAGAATTTATGCCAAGGAAATAAGCAGAGATAACCTCAAAGATTTAGGCACATATAGATTCATCAGTCATTTCCAATAGTGAAGTCTGGAAACCATCTAAATGTCTGAAGTAGCAGGGTGGTTATGTAATGATGTGAAATTCTTAAGATGTTACACTACAAAAATGTTAAGTGCTACATAAGACATGAGCCCTTTGTTATAATTATACAAATATATATATTATATTGTGTGTGTAGTGGATTTGATAGTGTTCCCCCCAAAATTCTTGTCCACTCAGAACCTCCGAATGTGACCTTATATGGAAGGCTTTGCTGATGTAATTGGCTAAGATGAAGCCATACTGGATTAGGATGGACCCTACATCCGATGACTGGTGTCCTTATAAACAAAGGAGAGGATGGAGAGAAGTCATACGTACAGAGAATCAGGCCTTGTGATGAAGGAGGCAGAACTTGGAGCCTTGTGTCTTACAGGCTAAGGAACACCAAGGCTTGTGTTCCGGTAACCACCGGAAGCGGAGACAGCAGCCTGGGACAGATTCTCCCTCAGAGCCTCCAGAAGGAACCAACCCTGCTGACATTTAATTTCATCCCCTGGCCTCCTGAACTGTGAGAATGCATTTCTGGTTGTTTAAGCCACTCTGTGTGCGCTGATTTGTTACGGCAGCCTAGGAAACTCATACACTGTGCAAAGAGGTCATTTGATAATGATTATTTCTGAGCTGTAAGCCTGAGGATGCTTTTTATTTGCATCTTTATATTTTACTGCAGATTGAAAAATTTTCCACAATGAACACTTACAACTTTTATAAAAGATAATTTTTATGAGCAAAAAACAAAAGACTCAAAGTTTCTGAAGTCACTGTGTTCTAGGACGATTTAGGACAGAGGCAAAGAACAATTGATGATGATTATAACATGTTCTAGCCCAAAGATTAAAGTGTTTTCACATTCCTCTGTTAAAGGAAGAATGCTCTGTATTTCAGAAAAGTGGTACCTAAAATGATGAATATAATTTATCAAAACTGTTAACTTACACACCATATATTTAACTCATGCTCAATGGTGGAGTTATTATGACATTATTTCAAATAGCCTGTCCTCTGAATGTGTTATTAGCTATACATTGACAATATTTTTGCTTTATTTCCATTTGTCTTATATTATGAACACAGATATAGATAAATCCATATATATCTATATATCCAGTTTGAAAAATTCCTTAAGTTATATAAAAATATAGACTTGTGATTATGATCACCTCCCTGTATTTTAAATTAGGAAATGTGGCTGTTTCAAGAAGACAGAGAAAAAAGTATAAATAATAAAGCCAATTTGATATTTGAAATCTATAATCTTATATTTAATAGTTGTTTATTGAGCCTTAAAAGTGTGTCATTTACATGTTATTAATGATCAGCAAGCTCCTAAGACTGTATTTTTATTGTTGCAGTCCTTTTAAGTCACTCAGATAGCTTTAACATTAACCATCATTAAGCAAAGTACAGAGGAACCAGACAAGATTTCCTCCTTGATCAATGATTATGACCTAAGTCATTCCCCAAACATTAACATGCATGAGGACCATCTGCTGACCAGCTTTCAGTGTGTCCTAACTTGGAGTTTTGTTTTAAGCCTTGCAGTGTTCGGCTAGCTCCTTCCTCCTCTAGGGATCTCTTGGTTGGTTGGTCCTGGCAGTGATGACCCTGGAAAGTTCACTCATTCAGGCAATGGCCAACTGGAAATCACATAACACAGGAGCAAATCTACTGCAATAGGAGGATCTGAATTCAAATCAATTAATGTCCAACTGGCGGGCAGCAAATGGAAAAATTACTACTTCACGATCTGATTTTAAAAGATGAAGTAATACAAAAGAATACTAAAACTTAACACTTGTATTCTTCATAACCAAGTGAAAAGAGAGCATGTTATTTTGAGTGGCATTAACTCTGTATGATTTTCAGCTCCTGCACCTTATATATTATGTGATATAAAACAATTTTTTTGATAGGCATGACTTATTCTTATAAACGAAACCATCTTCATTTTGAAAAATAAATACTTCTTGTTATCAATTGTATCATAATGCTTTATTTGGCAAACATTTCAGCTCTAAGCCTAGTGCGGGTGGTCTAATTAGAGTGTGGTCATGGCCCATTAGCATGGGCATCACCCAGAACCTTCTTAGAGATGGAGAGTCTCAGGTCCACCCCGACCTGCATTTTAACAGCATCCCCAGGAGATTCATACGCACAATAAAGATGGAGAAATGCTTATTTTGGTCCAAATCTCTTCATTTCAAAGAGCCCAGGAAGGCTGGGGCTGCTTGTCCTGAATTATACAATGAACAGGAAACATTGCTGAAGCAGACTTGGTTTTCAAAATGATTCTATCTCAGAATCCTGTCCACTGTATTCCCTAGGCTTTCTGATAAAGAGCAAGTCTGAAAGGAAGTCTTTTGGCATAAAAATGTTAAAAAGAGAATTTCTACACAAACTTATGTTCATTTTTTTAAGGGTAGCTATTAAGTCTACCTATACTCCATGCATTTTAGTTTAAACATGGAGAATCAGTTTTACCCAAAGAAAATTAATCTTGAAATTTGGCAACTGTCAGACCAAAGTTGGCAAAAAGCACACAACATCTTTTCTCCATGATCACTTATTTTTTCTTGGTTTCAAGCCAAAGTCACATCTAGTTCAGTAAGGCTTAGCTTCATGACTGATTTGCAAGAGGTGGAAAAAAAGAAAATGGTCTCCACAGGCCCCCTTGTTCCTGCACTTGCTGCTGTCCAATCTGTCCGCTCCTCACCTAGCAAGCTTTGCAAAATAAAAAGAGAATGG